GGGAAATCACAGCCTTAAGAGAATTGTTGCTTACCTGTGGGTGTTTTTAGGAACAAAGAGCGCTCTTACAGGTTGACTTCACCAGCCACCCCCCACCAGCAAGTGGGAACGTCCTGCCTGCTGCACGCCTTCGATGCCGGCCGCACGTGCTAAGCATTTCTTCTTGGAGAAGTTTATGAGAGCAGAATGCTTCTGAATTTATGAGGCTCTCATGCATTTTGAGAAGAGATTTTCATATTCCACATATTTCCTTCTTTGGATCTTTCTATTTAGGGAGCAGTTTAAAAATACAGTTCCTCTATCTGGAGCAGAAGTGTTGTGAACCGTGCGTTCTACACCTCTTGAGACATCAGTCACTTAAAAGGGAAATACAAAGGAAATAAAAAAGAAATATAGGTTTTTTGGGCCTGGAAGATAGCATGAGTTCATGATAAGCTATAATAGACTGGAGACACGGAAATAAAATTTATCACTTATCAAAACGTACAGAGCGGAACTGGGGATACAGCTGAGGGGCATAGGCCCTTGTCTGGCAAGCCTGGGGGCGTGAGTTCGATTCCCAGTACCGAAAACAAAAACAAAAAAAAAAAACTTACAGAGCGTATTTCCCCTTAAGAAAAACAAATGCTTGCTTGTTGGAATTGCATCCTTAAAATAGGTACTCTCAATATATTTGGTTCCTTTCATTGCCTGAAATATCTCCCCAGACAAGTGCCTTTTCATTTTCTCTTCTTTCTTTCTTTTCTGTTTTTTTTTTGTTTTGCTTTGTTTCGGTTTTTTTGGACTGGTTGAACCCAGGATCTTTGCAGTGACCTACATCTCCAGCACCCCCCCCCTTTTTTTTTTACTTTTTATTTTCTGACAGGTCTCACTAATTTGCTGTTTTTCCAGCCTGGAGGCTCTAATTTTGATCCTCCTGCCTCAGCCTCCTAGAGTGCTGGGACTACAGTCACGTGCCACCGTGCTTTGCTTCAGATACATCACTTTAAAAAATTGTGCTGGTGTGTGGTTTTGCTACATTTTAATAGTGTATGGCGGCTCTGAAAGTTCGAGTTATACATTTAGGACCCCAAACAATGCCCCACATCCCTGAGAAATGAATGCTTCAGAGGACTGGTTTATTTTTTATTTTTTATTTTTTTGGTTTTTCTCCAGTACTGGGAACTGAACTCATGACCTTGTGCTTGCCAGGCAGGCGCTTTGCCGCTGAGCTAAATCCCCAGCCCCTGGAGGACTGGTTTATTATCACGTCTTCACAGCTAGATCTAACTAGAGGCTGACACATTTTTCTTACACGTATCTCTTCTACTTCCTTCGAAAGACCATGAACCTGGATGTGGTGGCAAACACTCATAGTCCCATCCTTCTGGAAGGCTGAGGCAGGAGGATCGCAAATTCAAGTTCACCCTGGGGAACTTAATGAAAGCCTATCTCAAAATCAAAAATTTTAAAAGGGCTGAGGATGTAGCTCTGTGCAAAGAGCTTGTGGTCCCCAATATCACAAAACAACAACAACAACGACTACAATAACACAACATGGTTTCTTGCTGCCAGGGGCAGTTCTGATCGGCGGCATCGCTGTCGACCGCAGAACACGTCCAGTCGGGACGATTTCTTCACCTGCTCTGCCCAAGAGACCCTCGGAAGGACTTGAGAATATGCTGAGCGGGACAGTCCCAGTCAGAGCACTTGGCTTTCACGGGAAGCTCTTCTCAGTCTTGGTCCTTGGATCTGTGCTGAGATCACGGTGACGGGCACAGACAGCAGCGAAGGCCGGTCTTGCTGGAAAGCGAGAAAGGCTATTCTCGGAAGGCAGGCCCTGTAGCTTCAGACTCGTAGGAATATTCCCGTCAGGGAAAGGCTGGAGGGGTCTCTTCCTCCTGAAGGACTCAGAGCGGCGTTTTCCCAGTTGTGCTCTGTAGGGCCCGAGGTGAAGGCCTCAGGCGCCATTGTGCAAGGCTGCTGGGAGGCCGGGCTCGGAGCCCCACACTCACCCGTGGCTGTTTCCACCAGTGCAGCTCTGCTTTATTTCTAAATTACAGACTGGGCTCTACTTCAGAGAGTTGCAAGATAATCAGATGACAACTGCATTTATCAGAACTACTTTCAGGGTGAGTACGCTGAGTAGTTGGAAAAGATCTCAGAGAAGTCACTTAGAAAGGCTGGGGGGCGGGTTAGGAGTGCGATCTTCAAGAGGAGAAGGGGAATAAAAATACACGGCCAGGAAACTCATCTGGGGAGTAAATCCTGCTGAAAACGCTAAAGCTTTTGCTTTCCTGAGCATAGGCAGGTTTGGAGGCAGAACTGCACACATGAGGGCAGAGGGCGGGCTGGGTCTGGGTGACAGGAAACTGTAGCCCCGTTCACAGCAGCCAGATGACTGGGGGAAGGAATGTCGAAAGGGGCTCACAGTGCTCATGGCACGCAGTTGACCACACAAGGCAAAAACGCTCCTTTGCCGTCTAACCCTCCGCACCCCCCCCCCGGCGTTATTTAGTAAAACTTGCTCCATAATGCTTTCAAGCTTTCATTGAAAATAGAGTCTTCCTGGAGAAGCAAGAGAGACTGAGGGTGGTGGACCGGTGGCTTGGAGAAAAAACAGAGGCTATGCATATTTCGTTTGTTGGTGAAGGACTCCCAAGACACAACAGCGGTGATACTGACCACTAAGATCGAGTACAGGCAAGGACACAGAGCAAAAGCAACGGGAAAACGACGTTCAAGTTGCCTCAGAGGTGTCTGGCGTAGGCTTCCCAGAGCTCCCTGTTGAAGCCCACGCAGGAATGCTCTTTCTCTAGCAGTGAACTGCGGGGACACACAGGAAACGTCACAGAGGGAAGCCCAAGAGTCTCAGGCCCAAGGCTTCTACAGGGAGGGGTTGGGGGCCAGTCACATAGGCTTATCTTGCCATGCAACTTGCCTTGGCCTTTAACAAGTCCGAACCCCAATGATAACACCAAGTACACATCATGAATCTTGGAGTTTGTGCAAAGCAGCCTGACAAACCAGTCTGGCATGGGCCACCGCTCCAGGTGATCTTAACAAAACCCTCAGTCACTGCCGTAAGGAACAATCTGATGGCGGCTCTCTTGGGAACTGGCCAAGGGTCGGCAAACAAACTCGCTGTGTTGACTCTTTCCTCACAGTTTGTGGAGGGACAACCAAATCTGGCCAGGACTTGGAAAAAAAAAAGGATTTCACCGTCGCAAAAATCATTTAGGCTTCTGCCACCTGGAGGCAGACCGTGGGGTAGGCGAGACAGTCTTCCTGTCCCAAGTCTCTAGTTGAAGGGGAGCAAACTCGAAAGTCAAGACTGACTTTTGCTGGTATTTAGCTCATGCTCCTCAAAATACTATAGGAAATTTATACTACAGGCCATTTATTTCATCAATTACATGGAGTAGTTATGGACGACCTACCTGAGCGTAGTTCTGAGCTTGGGGATAAATTAGTGAAAAGAAAGATGCCTGCTCCTGTGAATCTTATAGGGAACTAGGAAAAAGCATGGTTTGAAGCTTTTGAGTGGCGGCAAAATCATAAAAGTGGGGGTCCTGTGTGGAAGTCTCAAAAAGGGTAAATCTTCTGTGGAAATGACTTTCCTGGTATCACTAGGCTGTTTCATTGTTATACTCCTGGGGGGATCGCTTTCTAGCTAGGGGTAACCAACAATCTGAATTTGGGGCTCCCCTGGGTGAAGGATTCACAGTGCTGCAGGTGAGACAGTTGGTGATGCGCCTAGCCCGTGGCCGTTGTAGCCCTCCCCTGGAAACTGTTCTTCTGCCTGTAAGGACGGGTGCTGGCAACCGCGTGCTGTACTGTCCCCTTGCCCACCCACCTACAGGGGTGACCTGGACGGGGGTGATGCTTCAACTCAACATTACGGTGAAAGCACACTGCAAAGAACAGCGGGACAAGGGTGTTTGAAGAAGGGGCGAGGATTTGGGGGAGGGCTAACGCAAGTGTCTTCCACCGTCGTGAATTAAACCTCCCTAGTTTTGACCACCGTGGGCCTTTGAAGGGAGCGGGTCACAGCGCTGCAGTTAACCTTCTCACCCTTGCCCATGAGGTCTTGAAAGCCCTTTTAATTCTTGCAGGAATCCCAATCTCCATTCCTTCCCTCCATCTGCCATTTCTCCTTAACTTACCCAACTTACACTGCTTCTCTTTTTCAGAAATTTAACCGAGCCAAGTCTCCAGGTAGGAGTACCTCCAAGTGAAGACAGATGGCTCCAGATCTTCAGAAATGTTCCTTGCATGTTCCTCAGGCTTTGAGCAAATAAACCAGGGCCATCGCCGGCACCCTGGAGGTCATCTTGAGTACTCTAGCCCGTTTCGGCGACACGTAAAAACACGCGAGTGTGGTTTGGAAGGGACGGGTTCTTAGAACGTTACAGACGCGGCGCGGGTTAGGTGTTGAACGAAGGTTGTCAGTGGACACCTGAGAATCTCATCTGTTCTTCGATTCAGACTTGTTGCAAATTCTGCTTCACTTCCTAATCACAATTCCTTCTTTGCTAGCTCCTCAGCCAGGCTGCTCCTTGGAAATGAGTCTCTGGGACACTCTGGTTCGCCTGCCGTCCCAAGCTCACGCCCCTCGGATTCAGTTTCAGCCGCTGCACGGAGCCCACCCTGCGGTCCGTGGCAGCCCTGAGCCACCTTGTGTTGAGTGACTCTCCTCCTAGCGCCACTCGGGGTAACAAGCTGCTACATGACACGCACGTCAACTTGCCCACTTCCTTTCCTGTGACCAGCTCCCCGGAGCCTCCCTTTCCCCAGGTGTGTACCTCCAGGCCCCTCAATTCTAACTGCGTCAGGGAAACAGCTTTCGGAAACAAAACAAAACCCATATTCTGGGCTGCCTCCAAGGCTGGCATCTTCCCAGTACGGAAAAGTCAAAACAAATCTATTTTACTTCATTAAACTTATGTGACACTGCTAGGTGCAATACTTACAATGCACTGTAGGTGTTTATCCTACTGCCTCAAAGAAAACACCGCTACTCAGGATTAAGCACGTATTTATTTTAGTTCAGTTAAAACAAACATACATTGTTTCATTGAAACGGTGTAGAGCTTGTGGCCAACACTCCCCGCACGGGAACTGTTGGCCTGTAACGGTACAGTGGGGTATTTACACTATATACACCAAGGTAACACACCCAGCTTCTGAAAAGGTCTTTCAGTACACAAGATCACATTTTGGTAACTACTGCATTTTGAAAATTTGGACCTTATTCAAAATTTAAATAAGAGATTTGAACTTGCACCAAGTTTTTTGTGAAAAAATTTGATGTCTAACCAGTTTATTACAAATACAATTTTGTAACAAATATTTTAAACGTTTAGTATTTGTACATAATTTGTCAATTTTATATTCAATTCTCTGTACAGGTACTTTTGTGACATATAATGTGAGTTCATCGAAATGCAGCTAAGAAACTTACAGGAATATATACACGGAACCCCAAGACCCAATCCTGGTATTATATACAACCTATTTACAAATACATATGGGCAGACACTGTATGTACATAGATTATCATAAATATTGAAAAATAGGTTAGCTTTAATGGATTAATGGTGTTCTATAAATAACATTACAGTTAACTGACACATCCACGGAAGACAGTAATGCAAAATGTGACAAGGCAGTGGTTTTAATACTGAAGACTGCTCATTAATGGGAAGTCACTGCTTAGGAACCTAAGACACACAAGGTAACTCCAAGAAGAACACAGGCCGGGTTTATCCCAAGAGTTGATTCTGAACCTCCAACAGCTGAAGGATTAGGGGAGCCTCTCCACACCAGTGTGCTACGCACGAGAAGATCCTTGCTTCCACTGCAGGTTCCCAAGTACTCCGCGAAGGATGTGAACTGCAGAGAACAACTCTTTACTTGGTGCTCCCGGCAGGTCTCAGGTATAACCATCTTTTGCCGGGAACTCACCTAGAAGCGCCAATTCTTGGTGTGAACTAGAGGTGAGGTTCTGGATTCGAATGGAGTGTCCGAAGCCCAATTAAATGAAAGCAGTGCTGTAGGATGTCTTCTCACTGCCTTTTTTATTTCTAGATGGTCTCAAGAATTTTTTCTTCGTAGAATCAAAAATGGACCATTGGTTTCACCCAAGGTAGCACTACAAGACGTCTTCCAGTTCTGTAAGGGCCTCTGATGACAGACACATCTTGTGTATAAATTTAGCCACGTACAATACAAGAATGTGTAACAAAACCATGTCTGTCACACTTCTGGCTCTTGCTTCAAACTAAGAATGTTTCCTTCCAGAGAAAACCTTAGAGCCAGAAAACAAACTGATACTTCAATTACTTGTTTCCCTCAACCACTTCATGGAATTGTATTAGATTTGACATTATGCCAGATGGGCAAAGTACCACATTACTTAATAATATATTCACCATACACTGTAACGTACAATAAATGTGCTCCTGAAGCCAAGTTTCAAAGTAATTTTGCCACTTCTACCTGGAATTGAAATGGAAGGGTGAACATGCAGTTGGACCAAAACTACATACAATCAGGTTGCACTGTTTTCCCTAATCACGTGTTGGATGTAAACAAATAATTCTACATTGTGTAAGAATGAGATGACAATCCAGTGCAAACCAGTTTTTTAAAAAGCTTACTGCATGAAAGACTCATTGGCCTATAGGAAGAGAACTTATACCAAATACAGGTGTAACGTGAATTTGACCTCTACTGCAGACAAAACACGAATACAGCTAAGCCACACATTGTCAAGTAAATCACACTTCCAGTAGATGAGCATTTTAAAAAACTGTACTCTCTGGATAGAATGGTTTTGGCCTATCGCCATTCAAATGCCCATTTCTCTCTGCTGGAAGCAACGTCAAAAAAGGGCTGGCCCGAAAGAAAACCCAGAGCTGCCGCCGCCGCCCTGGAGGCAGATGCAACTGAGTAAGCCCCGTTTTACCCAATTGCACTACTTGGTACCTCGAAGTTACGCTATTTCCCACAGAAGTATCTGTATTATTTTCCATTCTAACAGGCTGAAGACCGAAACGTTCTTGTCTGGGTGAACTGACGTGTCTGGGGACAGAAGTGATGAGCACAGTTCACCTGATCTGGTGTAGCGCTAAGCACTGTTACCCTTGAAGTACAGTGAGGTTTGCACGAAAAGCAAAGCTGTCCCTAACTCATGGTACAATTTCTCCTTACATGGTTTTCTCTAAAAATTACTTTGGGTAAAAAAGTATTTGGCTAATAATGCCTAGAAAAAGGCAAATCATTACGTAAAACTAATATTTGTTTTTAAATACCAATGAAGTTACTTTATGGAACGGACAACTGTTTCTGGATAAAGTTCAAAAAAAGCCACTTCCTAAAAGTAAAATAGTGCATCTGAGGTCACTAAGTATTTTTGGTACAAAAAAAAGTGTTTTCTCAATGGTTGTTTCAATACTTTGCTGTAAATTAAGAACTGTTTTTCACATCGAATGGTTCCATTAGGCACATTCAAGTAAAATCATAAAATATCCAAGTTAAACAATGACACAGCCAAACATGTGGCTTGATACAAGTTAAAAGTTCATCCATTCTCTGGAATGGAATAAAATTGTCACTTCCCTTAACCCAAGTCTTGTGGTTTTGTTGTTAACATCCATTCCTAACACACAGATAAGTTTCTTTAAAAAAGAATAAAAAAAAAAAAAAGAAAAAAAGAAAACAAGTTCACTTATTCTGCATTCAGAAGAACCAGCGAGGAGCTTGCATTTCAAAAGGAAGTGAAACTGAAAACATCAGGTGAAATTTCATCGCAGTCGAGCGTCCACTCAGCCCCGGCAGCGGCGGATGGCTGCAGCGTGGGCGGTGCTAATTAGTGGCCGTCTTCGGGGGCCCCGTGCACCCAGTCCAGAACAATCAAGGCCATGCTTCCAATCATCACCAGGACGCCACTGAGCAGGAAGAGCAGAGCCTGCAAGGAGCACACGGAGCACACGTCAGCAAGCGACACACTCTCTGCTCTCAGCCGGACCCCCACCACTGCAAAGTCCCACGCTGTGTGACACGACACACGGCTCAGAGTGGACAAGGACTGACGCTGTCTGAACGCCGACACTCTCTCCTTCCACTCTCAAACACGAAGGAAATTTTCCTGACTAAACTCTTCACACAGAGCTAGACTGGAGGAGTTTTTTGGGCAATCTTTTAAAAAGCCCAACAGTTACTGGCACTTTGCAGTTTTGAGCAGAACAAGGACAGGTGCTTATTTATGAACAAGCGTAATACTTCAATCGGACTAGAACGGCAGGGAAGTGTTGTGACCGAGAGGCAGCCCTTTCCTGGACATCCCCACCGCAATCCTGGTTCTGTTTTTCTTTGTACCGGGAATCGAATTCAGGACCTTTCGCTTGCCAGCAGGTGCTTGTGTGTACTAAGCTGTACTACATCCCCGGCCCCAGGACTCTGGCTCTAGACCCACAATGGTTAGCGTGTCACTCTGTAACCAACCCTCACTACCTCAGGTTCACCAGGGCTCACCATGGACAGAAGGCCCCACGCTCTGCTTCGAGAATATCAGCCTTGTGTGAACGTGCCTACACACTCCATCTTTTCCTCTTATACAACCCGTCTCCATTTCAGTACCTGTCACACAGGAGGCTGCTAAACCAACACAGGTTCATCAAGTGGGTGGGTATCTTTAGGCTACTCTTTCTTCCAAGCTCTAAAATATCTAAACATGGGCTGGAGATAGCTCAGCAGCACGGCATCCGCCTGACAAGCACAAGGTCCTGAGTTCGACGGCCAGCTCCAAAAAAACCCAAAACAAACAACAACACACACCAAAAAACCCTAAACTTTCTTCCACTATTTTAAGTATCAGATGGCCAACTATCTTATATCCCATGCCCAACCAACCTTTTGTCAAGTTATATTACTAATATTTACTAGAAACTTTTATGTGAAACTATGGTGGTGGACAGCCTGAGGACATCAACTGGCAGAATGTAAAGGGTTACTGCTGCTTTTCTAGTCACATTCTTTCACTCACCCCTATCTTCTGCACAGATTTCATGGGTTCTTTCTTCACCAACTTGATGTAGAAGGCAGAGGGGAGAATAAAAATCAACATAGCAGCTGCAGATGCACCTGTACAAGAACATTTCAACTGATTAACTTTTCAAGCCTTCACATCCCTTGTAGTTGGGTCAACTTTCGTATTGCAAAAAACTTACCGATGAAACCGAAGATATCCCTGATAGTTGGGACAAAGATGACCAGCAAGTTGGTAAACGCCAAGATACACACTGTAATAAGGCTGTGACGCCACCAACTGAAATCTTTTGCTGCACATAACAGGTGAGTTACGGAACTCCGGATCTGCATAAAATAATTTGTAAAAAAATTCAGCTTTAGCTAATGCAAAGAATTGGCAAGCAGTAGGAATTCCTTGTAAAACAGCAACCATTTGTAAAGGAAAACTATTCTTTCTCCTCTGCTGCTGTTTTTCTAAGTATCTGACTGGATTATTATTATTATTATTATTATTTTGTCTTTTTGAGACAGGATCTCGCTATGCAGTTCAGGTTGGCCTTGAACTCACTTTGTAGCCCAGGCTGGTCTCAAACTTGCAACGATCTTCCTGCCTCAGCCTCCTGAGTGCTGGGATTACAGGCATGCACCACCACGCCCGACATGACTGGATTATTTTATACCTTGAATTATGAGAAGAATGTCCCAGAATGTTTTGAAAATCTACAATGTATTAAAGAAAACCCCTCAGAAACTATCACCAACTGGGTATTGCTCTACTACTGTGTGCCTTCTCCCACAAAACTGTCACAAATGGTCACAACTTTTGAAAGCTCCTCCTCACTGAAAAGAGGCAGGTGACTGATTACTTACCGGGAAAATGACTACTGGTACCGTGAGGGTGACAGCTACTAACACAGCCAAACGGACAATCAGAAGGATGATATCAGTTCCCACGACAGAAGAGTAGGTATGAAGCAATTCCGACTCTACGTGTTCTACAGGGAAAGACCGAAAAAGCCGTCAGTGTGTCCCCTCCTCTGGAGATCAAGCAGAAAACCTAACACCCAGTGAAATCGCCACTAAAATTTTAGCTCCTCACCAAGTAACTATAAACTAAGAAGCTAATACGATTAACTTGGAATTATAGTTAATACAATTAAAATAACATTCAAACAAAAATCTTTGACTACCAAGTAGGGATTTAGCCACATGACCTCCATTAAAAACAACAGGAGCTAAACAGCCAAATCCCCCGGATTGGCTTAGTTTATACATTATACAGTTTAACAGTAATGGGAGAACAGACACGCAGGCTGAATTTATCAGAGGCAAAGCCATCAGGCAAATATCCCTTCAAATGACTATGTTTTCCAAACCAGACTCTAGCAACTACCGGTGAAATGCACTACAGAAAATTCTAAGGTCTCAACTCAACGGCTTATCAAATATGCAATTTCCCAAACCAAATTATCTCATCTCAATAAACGCCGCCCGCCCAAAGTAGGCCCTGTTTACCGTAAAAAGTCAGGTATCCAAAGAGGGCAGCCAGCAGATACATGAGAAACATGGCAAAAAATGAAATCTTGGACACATTCATCATTCTTCTCCGGCTGCGGCTACGGAGAGTCAAAAGAAAATGCAGACGTGGGTTCAGGGTCAGTTATGAACAGAAGTCTAGTACTTCCCCACTAAAAATTCGTAAAAATGCACTCACCCTTTCAGCTCTTCATAGATGGGCAGAATGGCAGGGTGACAGACGAAGGAAAATGTCAGAATCGGTACCGCGTACACAGTCTGAAAAGAGACACGGAGGTCTGCTTACTACCCTGAGGTTATACTCTTGTCACTTTTGTGGCTAAGTCTCACATATTTAGAATCGAAGTCTAAAATAGTTTACTTTGCACACTTAGCCTCCATTTTCTCACCTGCCCGTTCAGTGTGATATCGTACCTGCTGAGGACGCCCTCCCACTACCATTACTTTATTTCTCAACCTACTTTAAGAAAACCAACACTTTCTTCACAGTTCTGAGTAACTAGCTAATCATACATGCTTTCTAAAAGTCCTGTTATCCACCTTCCCTGTACCGTAGGGGTCAGTGAAAGCCTCCAGCGGGCGTTTTCCCTCTTCCCTAAGATGTCCCCTTGAGAACATACTGTATTTGGTCACCTGTGAGTTGAAGATAAAGTAGTGTGGTCTGCAAGAGTCAACGGCAGTGCCGTTGAAGCCCTCGGAGGCCATCAACGCTGTAGGCTGAGCTAAGGTTCCATTCATCGTCTCGTTCAGCATCAGAGCAACTTCCATTGGGCAGGGAATCTGAAATTTCTTGCAAATGACCTGAAAATATATTATTTTGTAGTTTAAAAAAAAACAATGTGACAAGGCTTATAAAAAAAATGTTTTCTATAGAAAAATTCAACCTACCACAATCAGAAAGAATACCATACACAACAAGGACAGGCCACTGGTATATCCCAAATATCCTGTAAGAGGCAGGAAAAAAGCACGTTATTAGTCTGATGAAGTAAGGTGACACAGAGAAATATTTTTCCATGGATTACCCAAATTCTGCTGGGAAGACTTTATGCACCCTAAAGTTTACCAGGTCCTTTTTATTTCTTGAGGCAGGGTCTCACTAGCAGTGCAGGCTGGCCTTGAGCTCACTATGTAGCCCGGCTGGCCTTGAACTGATGGTGATCCTCCTGCCTCAGTCTCCTGAGCGCTGGGACTACAGCCAGAAGGTACAATGTTAAACTTCTCACATATGAAGACAGACACTGGTCACAGCCAAAATAATAAGAGATTATTACTGTGTATTACTTACACAGCAAAAATATAGAGAAATGTCAATGAAATATTTTGACTTCTTGGGAGTTACCTTGCTAGGATGCTGGAAGAACTACAGGAGCTAAGGGCGGCGGTCGAGCTCCTGCCCAGCATGCACAAGGCCCTGGGTCCAACCCCGCACAGCAGAAGGAAGGAACTCCAGGCTGTTCATGCTTGCAACTCCCCCGGGTATGTTCTGGGGCCTCTAAGCTCACTAATTTCTCGTTAGAGTAAGCCCTGGCGCGCCTCCTTACAGTACTCTTTAGACATGCATCCGCTCACCTAAATTTCTCAGCAGCGATAACGGAAGAATGAGCACCAGAGACACCAGCAGAACCAAGTAGTCACCATTCAGATACCACAATCTAAATGGAAGGGGAGAGAAGTAAGGTCAGAGCTAGTTAAGGAGGACACGGCAGTATTCAGAGAACTCACGTTACACGTACCACAAAGATACACGAGAAAAGGGGGTCTTCAAGTACTCCTTAGTCAAATCAGGAGTAACTTTTAAACTTTGTATGTTCACTCAGGTTAGAGTTGGAGCTAAAACAGTCTAACTTTTGTCCCACCGCTTGCTCTAGGAAAACTGCCAGCTGATTCATAACATAAAATGCTTCTCAAAGGCTCGCTACGAACATAGGGAACAAGGCTGCTTTGTGAAGCCAGTAAGCTTATCTCTAAGCACTTCTAGAAAAAAACACTGCACGCCAACTTTGTTACAGCTTGAGCTTGCCATCTCAAATGCGGGGGACAAGTACATTTTACAACAAAGTTTTTTCCCCCAGGTATTTATGAGCAAAAACACTTATTAAACATTTCAACAAGGAAAATTTTCCACACTTCGGCAAAAACAAAAAGAACAAAACCCAAAACAAACCTGTCCCCTAAACCACAATTTTGCTCCAAAGTAGAGAGTATGCTGTTGATGTTTTGATCCACTTTGACTCCAAAAATAGTAAAAAGATCATGTCTAAACTCAGAAGTTACTACGTACTTGTAAACTCTACATAAGAATGCCACTACGTTCACTTCAGCAACAAGGACCCCATCGAAAACCAGTATGTAAAATCGGTTTATCAGCTGGGTGCGGTGGCACAGACCTGCCGATCCTCGCTGAGATAGGAGGATCACTGGGTTAAGGCCAGCCTGGGCTGCACAGTGAGTTCAAAGCCAGCCTGACACACATAGTGAGATCCTGTCTCAGAAAACCAAAACAAAAAAAGCAGTTTGCTCAGTTACATTTCTAAAGCAACAAAGACACCATAGCTCTGTATTCGGAGGTTAAGACCTATGAAGGTGGGAAGTACTTTAGCCCTCTCTGTGCTTAAGGTAAAAACTTGCTAGTCCACTGGGATGAGTCACTTTGCCGAAAGATTAAGGTTCCTACTACATAGCCACACCATTGGTTGTATGTGGCATTCAGCAGATTAAGTTTTGTGATTGGTTTTCAATGTAACTAACTAAGAGCTTCAGTTTGAGGTTGGGGTGCGCTTGATAGCTCTCACTTCTGAAGTGAGTATAAAATGAGAAATTCTAAGAAAACCTGTTCTCACACACAGGTCAGAAATTATTGGAGGTGAGCCAGGCGTGCTGGTGCACCCCGTAATCCTGGCACTGGGGAGGCTCAGGCAGCAGTAAGGCCCTGAGTCTGAAGCCAGCCTGAGCTACACAGCAAAACCCTCTCAAAAAAAACCAAAACCTAAAACCCCAAGCAATTATCGTAGATATATCCAGAATTAAGAGTTAGCTACTATCTTCGGCTTTTCATTTTCACAAAGTTCAAAGCAGTTTATGGGCAGACTTCTTGGTTGGTCAACAGAAACTGCGTTCTGTGAATCATTTTACATCCAACTTTGAGGAAACGTATCTGACCATTTTAGACTCTTGTTTCTTAGGAGTAACCTTACTTAGCACCTACCCAGTTGTATCTTCAATGTTCATTAATGCCTTGATCACCAAAGGTAACTCATATTTCACTATGAAGAGGTAGCTTGACATAGCTGGAGGAAAACAAAATTATACCATTACAAGTGCAAAACGCAGCACATGACACTAAAGACCAGGCTTCACCACTCTGTCCTACACAGTAAGCAGCCTACCCAAATCGCCTGGGAAAACATTCTTACCTCCAATGTTCTGCATGGTGATTGATCCAGAGGCTGCGAGCTTCCCAATCATTCCAAATGCCTTATGTCCCAACTGTTCATATAATAACGACCCTACAATGTGAAGAACACAGAACAGGAAGTGAGCAAGTGCATTACGAGGAAGAGAACCAGGAAAGGTATAAATTATGAGAGAAACTAAAAACGCTATCGTACCTCCTTCATTGGCAGTCTTCAGAAGGAGATGAACAGAATATAGGGAAAATATTGACACAAATGTCAAGAGAATTCTGGGGAAAAAAGGACAGGGTTGTAATGTAAGTAGGGAGGTCTATCACAGTGCTTTTAGGTTCTTTCAAATAACATCAAATGTGGAAACGTGTCCTACTTGTGCCAAATGCCCCCAGGAACTACTTTCTCCTACTAGCTGAAGTGTCAATCTGCCGCCTAGCACTAAAACCGTGTCTCACGTTCCCGGTCATAGCTCCACACTGCTGGTCAGGGGTGCACACGCTGCGTCAAACCCAGCAGGAGGCACTGGGATCCCTACTTCCCAACGGGAGTTATAAAACTCGTGCTGTGATTTCAGCATCTAGCTGTGTGCCTACCACTTCTCTGCATTTTAACAGCTCCCTGTCAGATGCTGGACATTAAACTAAGGCAGGTTCAGGAAAGAGCTGGTGACTGCACAAACTAAAGGTAAGGACAGCAATGGGAAGAGAGGAAGGATACTCAAACCAGGTGTCAGGCCCTATAACTTCACTAGCAACTGGGCAGAAAAGATGTAACCCCACTGCAATGATAAATACACCGATTCCACGGTGGGGAATACAGGCCACGCTTGTCACAGTTAAAGCACTGTGCTAGAGCACCGCTGTGTACACCGTCTTGTCCTGACTCTTCTGAACTTGAGGAGGGGTCGAGGGAAGGGCTAACGGGACACTAGGACCATTTAGTTTTCCTTTAGGTCATGGGTTCTGTCTCACTCCACTTAACTTGCCTTCCACCGAGGAAAGCAAGTAAGAATAGGGATTTTTATTTCAACAAGCAAAAACAGCCAGATGTGGCAACACACCGATAATCCTAACACTCTGGGAGGCTGCAGCAGGAACGTAGCCAGTTAGAGCCCAGTCAGAGCAACTCAGGAAAAAAAAAGGTCAGCAAAAAAAATTGGGGAAACTCACAAAAAACTCTACTGCGACAGCCATGATCTGATTCTCTGTAGGCAATTACACACAGTACCATGCAAAGGGACGGCAAAAAAACGGGTATCTAGGAGTTAAGTGCACAAACAGCATTTATCTAGCAGTCTAATGCCAGAATTTTTATGGAGTTGAGTTCTAAGGTGACACTATTTGCTTCACCTCTAACTAGAGAAAAGAGTTTAATTAAAAACAGAACAAATGATGTCCTTCACTGTCTCACACTGGAATGACAAGGGATAAATGGATGTCACATCCATTTACTTTATTATACCCTTCGAGGTTACTTAAAATCAAGAATGCGTCTACTGAAGGTCAGCTCAAGAACTGTTTTTCGTGAACTGTGGCAGATATGTGGCTTCTGGCCTCTCCCTATGATGAATATTGAGGAATAAAAACTCACGCAATCTTGGTATCATTTAGCCATTTATTAGTATGGTTAATCAAATACAAAAGCTCCTATTAAAGCAGAATTCCAAAAGTTCAAGGGTAACAATGGAGTTTTGCTTCCACTCTGAAACAGTTGCCATTTTATCTCATTAAAATTCTGTACTCCAACCACATCGGCAGGATTTAAAAATTGCAAAGGACTTTAAATATTTAACTGTGACATTCAAGTTTCCCCATTAAAAATTTTGCAATTGAGGATCCTATCCAGGTCAGTTCCTGATCCCTTAGCTTTCCAAGAGGTCTTAAAAGCCTCATTCTAGTGAGACAAGCCCACTGAACCTGAGCTTGTAGTACTCATGGCCGGTGCTAACTTCTGTGGAATTTCAGAGTCCTGCCAAAGTCCTCTTCTTTCCTGAACCTCTGCACGCTAGAGAAAATCGAGCAGCAGTCACCAGGAGCTAACTAAATGCATCTGTCTCAAAGCAACGTGTGGTTTCCGTATCTGATAAAAAATTAAGGTATTAAGCCGGCCTTTGCCACAGGTACTTGAAATTAACGACTGTGACAGACCTGCACGGTGCTTTTCATCCCGGAAATAAAGCTCCTATGTTTCCATTATAATTTCCAAGGGTCAATGACCCCCCAAAATGGCAAAAAGAATCACTTCCATAAAGTTTTCTATGCTTCCAAAATTTTATCCAGGCACTTATGCTGGAAAAAGAGCAACTAACGCTAACTGGTCAACCGGAAAGAAACATTTCAAAGTAGGTACTTAATAAAGTATTCACTTCTGTCACCCTATGTGGCAATTACATAGATCCAGGAAAGGTAAACATTAAAAAAAAAAAAAATTGTTTTTCAGTATACAAAAAATGTCTCACTTGTCCTAAAAGAAACATTTACCAGGGTAGGTAAACATCACCACACCTTACAGTTCTCTCTTCCTTATTCATGTAAGGGGCCACAGGTCCTTGGAGTGACTGTCAATTTATCAAACTGAGGTAGGAAGCACTTCACTCGGTACTATTTTTGGCTTCTGCTTTTACCAGAAAAAAATTTATAGCTATCCTGGATTTAGCAATAGTTCCTTTTTTGTTCCCCAGATCTGTCAATTGTTTTGAAAAACAGCCCTTTGCATTAACTGAGAAGATTCTGGACTTTATTCTTCAGTTGTAAATGCTGCCCGTTTTACTACCTAATTGGCCTTCTTGATATTGTGCAATATGTAGTAGAATAAAGAGATTTTGGGGTTTCTCACACTCTTAACTTTAAACAAATTATTTTTAAAGTCAGCTACCTCAGCTGTAAGTTCAGTTTCTGGAGCTAGAATATGTTTTACCCATCATATAACTGCCCTGCGCGGCAGCAGACTCACTACTTACACATACTTACATAAAAAGAGCAATTCCAGTATTAGCCATGGCATAAGAAAGCCCAAGGATTCCACTGCCCACAATCGCATTGCTCAGATTAAATACTGACATTCCAAAGGAAGTAGTACCTGGATGCTACATAGAGGGAAACGATAACCAAACATATAACAACAATTAAACGGAGAAAACCAGTTCCGGGCAAGTTAGATTTGAAATCTAAAAGTAAAACTAGTCTTTTACTGCATAGAGCCACAGACACACAAATTATAATTTTCAACTTACAAAGTCTGTTTCATACTTCTTCTTCCCCAAATTCGATTCAAGTAGAAAGTTCTGGTTTTCGGGATCTACATCTGCATAATGGCTGCAAAATATACAGAGGCAGAATTTCAATATATCAAAACGTATCGATCCAATATAAAACAGCCCACTCTCCCGTCACAGCAACGTGTAAACACAAAAGACGCTGTCATCGCAGTAAGACACTGGTGACCCGCGATTACAGACTCTCCAAGCGCACCAGCAAAGGCAAACCACCGCATCCGGATGCTAGGTCCCTAACCTCCCCCCCACCCGGATGCTAGGTCCCTAACCCCCACCCCGCGCGAGCCGTTTCCGAGCGCCCGGCCGCCCGCACCTCTTCAGAGCGGCTTGCTTGGTGGGGTAGGCGTAGCTGAAGTCGCTGTTGGAGCTGTAGCTGCTGCTGTCCTCGTCCGGGGAGATGTTGAACCTCCCCATTTCGCTCTTCTTCATGCCGAGCATGGGGGCGGCGGGCGCGCGGCGCTGGCTCCTTTTGTCCTTGGCGGCGCCCGGGCTCGCGGCGGCCTGCGCAGGGAGAGGCGGCGTCAGG